TTTGTTGGTTTAATTAATTCATTATTATAAACTTACTATTAAAGATCTATTAATGAACCTATAACGAATTCGCTAATGAATATAAAACTTACTAAGCACTTACCACTAATTCATCGTTAATTTATTTAAAAAAACTCTATTGTTGAATAAAATTTCTCTAAAAAAAAAAAAGTTTATAATATGGATGATTATGACTATAATGAAGCCAATACAGATAACTATGACTATAACGAAGATAATACAATAAGTTTTGATGATTCCGCTTCTGCAATTGTTAGATCAGATATATCAGAATCAATTGTTACTAATCCAACTAGTTTGCAAAAATATATATCTCCTGTCTGGAAACATTATTCTTTAATGACAAATGAACAAAAAGCTATATGTAAATACTGTAAAAGCAAACTTAGCCATAAAAAAGGCACCAGAACATCTCACCTTTGATGTCATCTTAAAGCATGTAGAAGATATCAAGCATCTAATGGCGATTCATCAAATTTACCAAATCTATCAGATAGTCAAATGCAATTAGATTTTAGTACATTCATTACACGACCATCAAAGACTATGTCGTAAAAATATAGTTGACATGATAATTAGAGATGAACTAAGTTTTCAGTTTGCGGAAAAACAAGAATTTTAAAAATTTCTTAATGGAGTATTGCCTAATTTTACTATTAGTGCTGATACAGTAAAACGAGATGTTATGAAAGCCTATGATAAAAGAAAGGCTTTTATTAAAAAAGAACTTCAAAATGTAAATAGTAAAATCTCTTTAACCTGTGATATTTGGACCTTGGTTCAGCAACTCGGATATTTGGCGGTTATGGTACATTTTATTAATAAAACCCGAAATCTTGTTTTTGTTTTACTATTATTTAAACTGATTCTGTTTCCTCATTTTGGGGTTAATATTGCTAATTGTATTAAAGTTAAAACGGATGAACATTTAATTACTAATAAGGTATGCTATAAATACTGTATCAGAATTTATTACGTAGTGAAATCGTAATTAGCCAATTATATATTTTTCTGATACGATACGATAGAGTAATTTATAACAATAATTCTGACTTATTTTAATCAAATTTTCATTATTTATATAATAGCTACAAACTATTACTCTTGATAATGCAGGCTTGAATAATGTTGCAATTCATGAATTAGTTGATTATATCTCTCAAGATTCGCTTATTAATATTAATGAAGAACTTTTTCATAACCGCTGTTTTGCTCATATTTTAAACCTTATTGTAAAAGATGGTTTAAAAAAAATTTTAGAAGAAATTAACAAGGTAATTATATATTATCTAGCTTTTATTTAATAATTTTTTAATTACAGTATTTACTTAATTTTTTTTAGATTCACAACTGTGTTAAAGCAATACACTCAACTCCAAAGCGACATCAAGCATATTTAGATATCTGTGAATATAAGTCTGAAAATCTTATTATTCCATCATTAGATTGTGATACCCGTTGGAATTCTACCTTCACAATGTTACAATTAGCAATAAAAATGAAGAATATGATTATTCGAATGGGAGATCGTGATCGAACTTTTTCTGATTTACCTGAAGAAAACGAATAGACAAAAGCAGATAATATTTGTACCATCTTAAACCCATTTTATGATTGTATGTATTTATTTAATAAATTTATATTAAGTAAAACATATTATTAGTTTTGTTTAAAGAATTTTTTTTTTAAAAAAAAACAGATACTCTAAAAGCATCGGCAAACTCCTATCCAACTCTCAACAATACCTTCGCTTCTATTTTAAATATTCGTACTTATCTTCTCAATATGAGATATCATACTGATAACTTTATCCGTGATATTTCTGAACCTATAATAGAAAAGTTTAATAAATATTGGGATGATAGTAATTTTTTATATATTATTGCATGCATACTTGACTCTCGTTATAAGTTACAATTTATTTTATTCTTTTATCGTGAAAAAGAAAAATTAAAATCGAATAATCTTAATGAAAAAATGCAAGATATTAAAAAAAAGTATATATTTATTAATTTAATTATTTATACCTTTATACTATTA